CTCCCTCCCTCTCTCTCTCTTTCTTTCTTTCTTTCTTTCTTTCTTTCTTTTTCTTTATTTCTGCCAGGAAAGTAGAGAAATTTTTTCATTAGTTCGAGGTCTTCAGAGGTCTCCATCAAGCCAGTCATGTTGAAGAACGTTCTGCTGTGGTCTCTTCAGATAAGTCTCCTAGGAATGAGTCTTGGAGGGAATGTTCTCATCTGGCCAATGGAAGGCAGTCACTGGCTAAATGTTAAGATCATAATAGATGAACTCCTAAGGAAAGAGCACAATGTGACAGTCCTTGTTGCATCAGGGGCGCTTTTCATCACGCCATCTGTCAGCCCATCTCTGACATTCGAAATATATCCAGTGCCCTTTGGCAAGGAAAAAATCGAAAGTGTGATCAAGGACTTTGTTTTGACGTGGCTGGAAAACAGGCCCTCTCCTTCAACTATATGGACTTTCTATAAGGAAATGGCCAAAGTCATTGAGGAGTTCCACTTGGTGTCCAGAGGGATCTGTGATGGTGTTCTCAAGAATGAAAAGCTGATGGCTAAGCTGCAGAAAGAAAAGTTTGAAGTCCTGTTATCAGACCCAGTGTTTCCATGTGGTGATATCGTAGCTTTAAAACTGGGAATTCCATTTATCTATTCCTTGAGGTTTTCTCCTGCCTCCACAGTGGAAAAGCACTGTGGGAAGGTCCCATTTCCTCCTTCGTACGTTCCTGCAATTTTGTCGGAACTTACAGACCAGATGTCCTTCACTGATCGAGTAAGAAACTTCATTTCCTACCGAATGCAGGACTACATGTTTGAAACTCTTTGGAAGCAATGGGATTCCTATTATAGCAAAGCTTTAGGTATGTAGCCATTTTTGTTTCATCATTTGAATATAAACAAGACTTCTAGGAAATTCTTCTTTAATTGTGTAAATCTATAGTTTGAAGTCTGCATGGTGGTATGCGAGTTTTATCACATGCAAGAGGGAAAGAGTGTATTTAAACAAGCATACGCTATAGAATTATCAGAACAATTTGCTAATTTCATGGGCTTAAGGTTTCAACCATTATATGGATAAAGGCGTTGACAAATAAATTGGATTGATAGGTAAAACTAAACCTTGTTTAGAACTAACAGAAGAGTAAAATTTCCCTAGAAATTTCAGTTTTGCGCTAATGTATCTGGGAGAAATTACATTTTACCGTAAGCTTTCTGTTACATAGACCAACATCTATGTGATTTTCCTTATGTGCATATAGGCTCCAACTAGCTTAATATTTATTTATTTGGGGAGTACCAACATCAGCTATTTATTCACAACATTCATATTGGTAGCATCACTACCTCTACAGATAGTCTCAGAGTCAAGTAGTGCTTGTCTTTTTCTCTGATGATTATGCTTTCCTAACCAGATGTTTCCTAACATGCAACGAACACTGGCTTAGAAAAGAGATTACCACTGGAATGGTGTAAGGCTGAGGCCATTAAGCATAGATGTTGCACATGAAAAATAAATGTTTGTGAAGCGAATTGTCTCTCAATGATGCAGGCAGAATACAGATTTCACCAGGAAACTTAAAGGCGAAAAATATCAGTTCTCCTGGAAAAGAATCATTGGAATGAAAATTGTGACTAAGTTAGAAATCAAAACTAACATAACATGTTCTAGGATTCACATGTGATGTGCTATTAGTGTAGGTCACCGTGAGGATGGAATTTAAGAGAAAAATGTTAGTGATGCCAAAGTTGTTAATTCCATGTGTTTGAGTGAGTGAGTGCGTGTGTGCGTGCGTGTGTGTGTATGTGTGTGTGTCTGTGTGTTGGCATATGTGCCCATGTGTGAAAATATTTGCCTGTTCATGTCAGAATCTAGAAGAAGACCTTGACCCTGCTGCTCTGTCATCCTCTGTCTTATCCCTTTGCCACTGAACACTTTTCTCTGAACAGCAAGCTCTGGTAATACTCTTATTTGCAATGGTTTAGGGGTTACTGACATGTGTGGTCATATTCATAAATGTTATCAAAGTGATGCTGGAATCCGAACTCAGGCCTTCATGCTTTTGTATCAAGTCAACTTACCTAATATTCAGCCTTCCCCGACACTCAACATATATTTTAATAGTCTTTTGTACATTACGCTAAGCATTTCAGCTTGGAATTGTTTAGAAGGATTTGTTTTGACAAAATTTATGTTGTATCAAAATGTCTGAATAGATGCAGAGACCAAGTGGACAGTCTTAAATCTTTATTACTTCCTTCCTCCAAAAAAAAAAAAGTATGAGAAGAGCATGTGTTGAGAAGGTGGCTAAAACAGGAGGAAAAAATAATGTACAAAGACAGTATATAATAACACTACTAAATAGTTTGTTGACACACAGTAGGAGTCTAGAGTTGTGTGACCACAGAAAAGTAATATTGTCCCTTTTCATCCACATTTCATTTTATCTCATTTCTAGCAGGAATAGTTAAAGAAATAATAAAATTCATAAATATGTAGTCACTTTATAAACTGAGAGATATTACATAATCCAATTTGCGTTAGCTTATTAGGTACAGTTACTTAAGGTTGATGGACTCTGTGAAGACTGATAAAAGACGTAAGATTAAAAGAGTTTCAGTATTGATGGTTTCAGTAAGTTATAAATGGCATGGTTAACTGAGGTAACTATTATAAAATATATAAGATTTGGTAGTATGAATAATGTATTTCATTTTTTATGCATGTGCTACTTTGTAGAAGATCTGTCAAGGACCAATACAAAATGAATTAAACAGAATAGTATTTCAGAGAGAAGACAGTGGGTTAGAGATTGGAATACCATTCATATAAAAATAGTATTTGTTTTCTAACACTATGTTTTCCATGTGTCCTGATTTCCCATCACATATAGGTTGCATGCTATTTTTTTTTGTTTTGTTATATAACATATTTCTGGATTTGCCAAGAAGCAAATGATTTAAAATCAAGAAATGGGTTATATGGTGCAAACATCTTTGAAGGCACCTAAAATACTTTCAAAATACATAATTACCATGATGTATTTTATAGGTGGTATGCTAAATATCAATATTTTATTCTGTTGTCCTGATACAATGTACCAGATGAAACTATTATCAGTGAGGATGAGACAAACAAGGAATGAATCACACATTTGATGAGATATATGTCTTGTTGCTAAGTTCTGAAGTTTGTTTTCTCTTTTGGGACACCATATTTGAGTTTGTGTTTCAGTCATCTTCATTAGTAATGAACATTGTTGTATCCAAGTGAAGAAGTGATAGTGTTTGTCAGTTAGTTCCTGTATGGCCTAGCAATGCTTACTAGCTAATAAATGAAAGTATGGAATGACTTCAAGTATCCTTTGAAAATGATAAAATGAAGAGAGCAAGCCAAGTTCACAAAAACTTCAGAAGAAAACTAGGGGTTTCTTTGTAATCATACATCGAACCCTGAATTCTTTCAAATATCTAACCCAAAATACTTGTAAATGAATACCTATTAATCAGAATAAATATTCACAAATGACTTTTGGATGCAAGCAGAAGGTACTAAAATTTGGTGAACATGACTGAAAACTGTTGTGCCAATTTTAACTCTATTCTGTGCTAACAACAGGTATCAACTTCTCCTTCTTTGCAAACCTTCGTTCCATGGTTCATAAACTGATGATTTATTTCAGCATGTATATGACAACTTAGTCCTTCTGCCTGTTAGAGAAAACAAGGATAAATCTGATGTCTACATTGGGAAGCTATGAAGACTCAAGGAAATGGGCCACATAGTACATCCAAAATAAGTGCTTAGAAGGATGAAGATAGGTGAAAAAAAGTAGAGAGTTCTTGGATAAATGAAGCTCTAAAGTTGGTCAAAGCTCCGTTATGTTTTCATAACGGAATAAACAAGGAATCTTAATGTGCATGGCATCACATTTAATGCAAGAGAAGGAAGTACTAGACATATCTCTGGGTTTTTACGCTATCACTCTTATTAATAAAAGTATTTTACAATCATAGCTCTCTAAATTCCTATACTACCTTTTATACCTGCGATATCATTTGTCACGTAACCTTTCCCAGGATGGAATTTCAGAATACAAAGACCATTGTATTTTTTTTGTTTTTAAGTTAGTGTAATTATAGAATCACACAATTCTAGACTTGAGGTAGGAGAGACTAATCTTTCTTAACAATTTGTTCATGAGAAAATAATGAGTCTTTATGTAAATGTTCTTAAATGTGATCTTGATAGACAGCATTGTGTTGCTAACTGAATTACCGTGTTCTGACTCAGGATGTCTATATAAGTTGGTATTTTTTACCCAGACATAGTGATCTGGTGATCTGAGGGACATGAATACTCTGTTTTAAAAGATCAGGTAAGAATTAAAAATACTAGCGTATTGGCATAAGTAACTCATTTTAGTGAATAGTAATGAAAATGATGCAGGCAGTGGGTTTGAATTTTCTTCCAAAAGATCATGTGCACTTATGATCTACTTT